TCCAAAGATCCGGCCACGACATGTCGCGGAATCAAGGCCGACGGACAGAAATGCCGTCGAACTGTAGTCTCGACTAAGTCAACGCCCTGCGCCCCGCCGTCTAGAGATGCGATGTCCAGGAGGAGAATCAACGATCGTCCAACAGCGGCTCAATTTTGCTGGCAGCATAAGGACCAGGCGGTTCATCATATCACGCCAACGCCCGCAAAAGCATCCACGCATGCTTCACAACTGAAGACGCGATCGAGTATTGAAACGCTTGCGGAGAAGGTTGGGTTGCTTGATGTCAATGACCAACGCCACCCAGTCTCGGAGGGGCAGGTTTGTGGGCGAACAGGCCCCCAAAGGATGGGTAGAGAACGGCTAGATTCTGAACCGCGCCCTGGCAGAGAAGCCTTCCAAAACAATGAGATAAGGAGACACTCAATCACTACGCCCGCGAGACTACATAATCTACAGGTTGAAAGCACAGCTGCTCTCGGTTCTCCCCCTGGCTCAAGTAGGAGGAGGTCTAAGTTTCAGAGAAAGCTCATTCGATTCATTATGGGAGCACACGATGATGAAGATATTCTCATTTCAAAAGTGCGTCATCGTCGAACGGCTTCGAATAATGAAACGACGACATCCCATCTCCTCTCCCGTCCGGCCGTTGTCCAGCCTCCGTTTCGGTCCGCAGATACCATTAACGACAGATATTCCCGCTCGTCTCACCTCTCTGAAGGTCGGGGGGCGTCTTCCCCGCTCGGAGTCCCTCAGCCCTCGACTTCTCACTCTCGGCCTCTAACGCGTCCATCATCTCTATCGCCGTCACCAGCCAGACCACTTCGACCACCATTACAGGGCAGCCCCGCCTCCACGCATTCGCATACCGACACTCTTCTATCCTGGATACCCAACTCTCTTTCGCCAATAACCACATCCACTCTTCTCAAAGAGTTATCGGAACCCATATCCGATGCCGACGAACCGGGGTACATATACATGTGCTGGGTCACGCCACGCACAGCAAATATCCCGCTCCCACCCCCAGAACTTGCCTCATCCCTAATCCCCTCCCCGGTCGACAACGCCAGCAGCAATCGAAGCTACAGCACCAGCGAAATCATGCGCTCCGCCGGCATTACACCAAACAAGGTCCATGACCCCCAGCGGAACACCGCTACGGATACCATAATTCTGAAGATCGGACGCTCAAGCAACGTCCACCGCCGAATGAATCAGTGGAAGGACCAATGTGCACATAATCTTACGCTCATGCGGTATTATCCGCATGTGCCTTCGTCGACATCCGTGCAGTCGGTGTCATTAGTTCCTCCGCGCAAGGTGCCACACACGCATAGGGTGGAACGGCTGGTTCACCTGGAGCTGGCGGACAGAAGGGTCAAGTTGCAGGAACCGTGCAGCTGCTGTGGGAGGAAACATAAGGAGTGGTTTGAGATTCGGGCTGACAGGGAGCAGCTGAGGATAGTTGATGAGTGCGTGAGGAGATGGGTCAGGTGGAGCGAGATGACGGGCGGTTGAAGCTTCTGGGGGATGTACTGTCTACCTTATATATTATATATGGTATCTGCGATGGTTTCCGCTCTTGACACTGATAAGAAACGGTTCCTGAGCGATGAAAGAGCTTCCTACGGAACGAGCCTTTTTGGAGAAATCATTGCCTTGGGTTGTTAACCCAGATACCATAGGTGTAGATTAATATTAATTTTTCATTTTCGATCAGAAAACAATTGGCCTTAATAACTAAATGCTTTCATCCACTAATCGTGCCCAGGTTTACAATCCTGGACTTAGTTGGCTTGGACGTTGTCAACGGGAGAGGAATTACGACGTGCGGGGAATATATCCATGCTAGTGCCAACAAGCATATTATTCGCTTCGCTTTGCTTCGCTTCGCTCCGCAAAATAAATACGGACGAAGGTTTATTTAAGATAACGATCATGCTACTGACTTTTCTCTTCATTCCTACTTACCTGCGAAAAGACCGTCAAGTACGCCTGCTATTTACGTCAACTGATCCTCTCCCGACTCGCACATCTGCTATTTCAACCGTGAATACATAACTACCGACCCCTGTTAAAAAAACAAAGCCAGTAAAAGGACAATATAAATGGAAGGACGTTGCCAATGCGGCCTCATCCGCTTCACCACTTCTCTTCCCAAGCCGTCAAAAATATACATCTGTCACTGTACAGAATGCCGTCACCAATCCGCATCTGCCTTCGGCATAACAGCCAGATTCCCAAATTTTGAAATCCCAGAACCCAAGCCCGCCTTTGACAACATCATCGCCAACTACGACCCCTCATCATCATCATCATCATCATCAGCTATGGGCATCCATGTGCGCCAGACGCTGTCCGGCAAAAGTTTGGAATGCCTATTTTGCAAACAGTGCGGGGTCCGATTGATGCATCGCGTGCGTGGAGAGGGGGAGCTGAGTGTGAAGGCTGGGTGTCTTGTCGGGCTGAGTAGAGAGATGATGGCGGGCGCGGTGCATATCTGGTGCAAGGAGTCGGTGGTAGAGATTCCCAAACGTGCGGAAAAATGGGATGAGGAACCCAACGCGTGATGTGTGATGAGGCTAAGATAGTGATGTATATTGATGTAGGGGTGATAATGGATTCCGTATGGTTTGGATGGAAGTTTTGTCCACTTGCAGGTTGCAGAGATGGGGCATCCAACGCAATCGCCCCTGAGCATAATGGCAATAGGGTTAGGTTGGATGGAAAATTGAAAACTGAACAGAGCATCTCTACTTGGCTAAAGGGGTTGGAAGGATACGGTTGACATTTCCCACCGCTAACTTATAACTTATTTGAAATGAGAATTGGCCTCTGGTTATAGCCGGAAGATATGTTATAACTACAGCTGCGTTCTCTGCTCGGTTACTGTAAACATTTAAGGTTGCTGGCTTAAAATTTAACCTTAAACCAACGTCATCGCCCCAGAAACTTTAACCGGACCGCTGAGTTCCTTACCCCGGATTTTGCAGGTAGCTTGTTTGGATAGACCTCTCCACAGCTTCTTCCCGCAACACCTCTATCGGAAAAACAACAGTTACGGCTAGCGACCCCCCATTTATCATCACATTAACAAACTCAATGACCAAAGGGAGTCTTCTTCTCATCTCTGGATGAACTTGCCCCGCGAATTTCTCCCGATAACGCGTCAAACCCACCGCTTCCGTCAAATTGAAGAATATATCACTAAATCAACCACTATCCTCCCATGGACACAAAATCAACGATGCCAGAAACACAGCTTTATATATCTCTCCAGCAATCCATGGATGGAAGCTTAAGGGCACTGAAAACACAAGTCCATAATCCTCTGAAACCACCCAAGGAACCCTTCTCGGAGGATCCCATTACCCCCACCAAGCTCACCACCCGCGCAAAATCCACAACCAAAACTGTCCTCCCAGTTTCACCCATTTTGTTCAAAACCAACCCTGCAGACTACTCCAAAATTCCCACCTCCACCTCCACCTCCACCTCTAACCTCTCCGCAATTCTATCCACCCTCCGCAACCTCCTCCCAGAACGCCTAAGCACCCGCGCCCACCCCCTCCTGCGCGTCTATACCACACAGCTTTCAAAACACCCACACCTAACCACCCTCCTAACAATCCAACTCCTCTTCACAGGCCCTCCAGTACTCCTCTTCACCCTTTTCGCCACAGGGACGATATTCTTCTCGCTTGCTCTGGCGCTGCTGAGCTCCTTGGTGATTAGTGCGCTTGTCCTGTGTGGTGCGGTGCTGGTTCTTGTGCCTGTTGTAGTTGCAGCGGCTGTGTTAGGCACGGTGGTGTGGGTTGGGTGTCGGGTTGGGTGCTATGGGCTTGTTTGGGTTGTGGAGGCGTTGCAGGTGCTGGAGGCGTTTGGAGGGGGTGTGGATGGGCGGAAAGGGGAGGCGTTGAAGAGTGAAGACGCGGTTGGGATGGAAGGGTGGGAGGAGTGGTGGAGGAGGAGGAGGGAAAGGAAGACGGGTGGGGATGGAGTGTCTGGTTGAAGTATTGACTCTTATCGTGCCGGTTAATAAGAGTATATTATTTATTATCTTTTGAGTGGCAGAATAGGTGATTGTTTTTGGGGACCTTCTGCTAGAATTCGAGTTGCAATGGAGGGAATTATGAGCTTTAATGAAACATTTGTTTAAACATATCTATTTTAATACGGAATGATGCAGTAATAGGATATACTCTCATGAAATATAAATTATACATCCATTCTGAATTGTTTACCAATACATAAAATATTCATAAAGGGCAACATCAAAGCAAAAGCAAAGGAAAAAAAGGAAAAGAAAACAAATATGCATGGAACAACATCATAAGCGTTTGATGCCAATGCAAACTCTATCCAATTCAAATGTGTTCAATATTTTTTCGCAAGCAGCAAAACACTGTAATAGTCAAACAAGTTTTAAACATGCTGCAACAATAATAACAAATGCTTTCATAATGTGTAATCAAAAGCATCCCAAAAGACGATCGTTAAGAGGCATAATAATACCACAGACCCTTTATATGGAAAGACCAGCCAACAAGAACTCCCGAATTTTGAAGGAATATGTGGAAAACCAATGACAGGAATAGGTTCAATCTACAGTGAGATTTTGTTGCTGCTGGTATATGAAGAAGCGATAAATCAGGTATACAGGACTTTCGTGGAACAGCTATAAGATAATTGCCCAAGGGGACATCACGCAGTCTCAAGGGATTTCAACATCTAACTAAAGAGAACTCTCTGGGTATTAAAAGTAGAAGAAAAGATCCTAAAAATAGAAAATAAAAATAAAAAAAAAAATTAAAAAATTTTCTTTTTAGAAAATTTGAGTAAAGACGGGAAATAGATATAATCTGCAGCGCAATTTGCAGGCGTTGGTATGGCTAGAGGTGGTAGCAGCCAGGACAGGCCTTTCGCAAAGCAACTTTTCAGTTTAGAGCTGCAGGACGGTTAAGATATTCGATCAACCGGCATCCTCTCCATCACCCTCAACAACAGCCGGGTAGGAGATTGTACATCTCCGTCTCCAGGCACACATTGCGGCTGATGGTGGTGGTGAGGAACTCGGCGATCTCTATAGTCAGCTTCACCCTCTGTGTGTGAGTGGGAAGTCGTGCAAGGGTCTCCTTGAAGTTACCGGCTAAACCGGCCTTCTCCTGGCGAACACGCCCAAGGAGCAAATTCTTCCACTCAATTTTCTGCGCGGGCAGGCCCAAAGGTCGTCAGTTAGCTGTTCATTCTTGAAACGCCATTTCCGCTTGAGGTCTCAGTGTTTCCATTTGACCGCGGCTTCCCTTTCTTCGGCCATGCGGCGGAGGTTTCTGGAAAACCATCAGCTCAATCTCAAGTTATTTGAGGCTGAGGGTCTGGTCTCCAGACGCAGCCGACTCCATTTGGACAGTCGGCTTTTCTACACTCTCAATAGCTTTGAGAGTGTTGGCGTGTGCGAGCAGAGACCGCTGTTCAAGCTTAGAGTATCGGGATTGTAGTTTCCGATACTCCTCTCGGGACTGCTGGAGATCGTGGTGGAGCTGGGAGTTGTCGCTGGAAGTCGCTTCGTATCCAGTGACCAGTCCACGCAGAAAGACGATCTCCTTGTCCGAGGACCTAATCTTATCCCTTGCTTTCGCAAGATGCAGCCCAGTCTCTGCCACTTCGCCCCGCATGGCTTCAGTTGCGCTTGCTGGTGAGCGATCTGAGCTTCGAAGTCTTTAATCTTGGCTTCAGCCGCCACTTGGGATGACTCGAAAAGCTTACGCTCCTCTCTGAGCTCATACTTCACCTTGTTTCGGGCGGCAACTGCGGAAGCGTACTTGGCATCCAAAACCATCTTCTTTTTCATAAGGACGTTTCTGTCCTCAACAACCTCATTTAGCTGCGCCATGTAATCATCCTTCTTGTCAACAAGGCGTTTGATTTTCGAGCGATACTTGTCTTTCAATTCCTCAATCTCAACTACGTGGCGTTGCTCTGCGATTTGGAGGTGAAAGTCGGGTTTTTCAGTTTCAGTTGGTGCGGTTTTCGGGCCGCCTGTCTTCTCATCTTCGGGATCTTGTGTGTCGCCGAGGACGCTGGATTCAATTGACCAGATAGACGAAACATCAATGGTTGAGGGCGTGGGTGAGGGCGGTGGACTTGGAATGAGGTTTAGTCTCTCAAAGTTAAGTGGGGCATTTTCTGACTTAATTGAGAACTGAGCCGACGGATCACGATCATCTGCGACTGCTTCAAACACTTCTTCGGCGGCTTTAAGAACCCCTTCAACGGTTTTAGACACCTCTTCGACGACTTCAGGAACAGCTTCAACATCATCAGAAACGGTTTCGACGGCATCAGACCCTTTCTCAATGAATTCAGGCGCTTTTTCAACGACTTTTTTTGCTGTTATGGGTGATGCGGGTTGTGTGGTAGGAGAATTGGAATTGCTACTTCCGTCTGCGGCTAACTCCCGTTTCGACAAACGTTTAGCGTACAAGCACTGTGGTGATAGGCTGCGGATTTGAGCTTTGGCTCTAGAAACCGTGGAAAGAATATCTTCGGAGTCGCGTACCTTGCATTCAGGTAATGTGGCAAGAGATATATCGTTGGCAGTTTCGTCTTCGGATACCTCCCGTTTCGAAAGATCTCCGACGTGTAAGCGCTGTGGTGATAGGCGGCGGATTCGAGTTTTGGCACTGGAAACTGTGGAGCGAGTATATTCGAAGTCACGTTCTTTGCATCCCGGCAGTGCTGTAGGAGAAGTGGAAATGACCGTTTCATCTTCGTCTACCTCCTGTTTTGAAAGATTTTGGGCACGCAAGCGTTGTGATGATAGGCGGCGGATTCGGGTTTTGGCACTGGAAACAGTGGAACGAATGGATATGGAGTCAAGTGGCTTGCATGATACAGTCCATTTGTATGCCGCTTTGAGGGACTTTGCTGTAGCGTAAACGGTCTGGGAAATGACCATGCTGAGCTCGCTGCTTGGTGATAGCATGGTTGATCACGTTCAAGTACGTTTCAACTGCGTGCGAGGGAAAACATAAGAGACAAAAGATAACCTTAAAGGGTATTTATACACTGTAGAACTAAGTCCAATAAGTTTGATGTATATGAGGAGACCTTTGATTGTAGTAAAAGAGTGTGAAGGAAAACAAAGTAGGGAGAAGTTTATAACAACACAAGGGAGTATAGACTCTGTAGAAAGTAAACAGAGTGGTAACTCGGGATACCGAATCTCTTACAGAGGACCGAATCCACGAATCTCAAAGCTGTATGTAGGAAGTAATCAACATTGTAGGAGTGTTGTAGTTGTTAGAGTTGTGAGAAGATAGTTATTCTGTGGCGAAGGAGAAGCAGAAGAAAAGGGAGATATAAATAGAAAGACAAACCCTTTGTATTCACATAGTATACGTGGGTTAAAAAAAACTGTTGAATGAGTGATTGAGCAACTTCACTATGACAAACACACAATCCCAGTGTGTTGTGAATGCATTTGTCGCTGTGGTATGGAGAAAGGGGGGAGGGGGGGGGGGGGCAACGGAAGTTCTTAGGTAGGTATTCAGACAGCCAACCAAAATAAGAAACAATGGAAACTTCCCGGGCGCCCTTCCATATGGATACGATGCCTGAGAAGAGACATTAGCTACATCAATGGAACTGAAATTAATTCTGATAGATGCAAAAGAAAAAGGCTATATATCCTGTAAAATAGAGCGTCAACACCGCTTCTCAGAGAGCGGAATATGTTCACGAAAAAAGCGCTTTGCCATCCATTCCCGGTAACCTAGGTAGGATCGCATTGTGCTGTTACAGAACGCAAAAGAGAACGCAAAAGAAGAGAGAATCACCCAACAACGAGAGTTGAGGAGGGTTCCAGGCCCGGCTGTGTGAGGTTCTCAACACCCCAATTTTGAATATCTCAGTGAAAGAGGCCCGCGTGGGAGCACCCTTAGAACAGCTGTAACTAGTTAAAACACGGCAACATGGAATAGATAGGTATCCCATGCAACTTAATACATAGCAATAGAAATATGAAGCCAAATAAAGAAGAACCGTGCAGTGGATGTGACATGCATTGGTTCAAATGTGAAGATGAGGTTGATTGATTGATGAAGTTGGAAGGTTGAGGCTGAGGGTTTGTTGCCAACACATAATCCACGTGACTCTACTGTCGGACCACAGTGTCCTTAAAAGCGCTAGCGCCTTGGGGAACGAACGAACAAAACGAGCAACATCTCAACCATCGCTCAAACCTCCTTTCTCAAATACCCAACACGCCGTCTCTTAATTTTCTATTTCTTCCTCCTCCTCCTCCTCCTCCTCTTCCTCTTCCTCTGTCAAACCAACTGCTCTTCTTTCCCTTCTCCTTCTTATTACCACCCCCCGCCCCCCCCTTTTTTTTTTTTTTTGTTTTTATTCTATTGTTCTTGGTTTCATTACTCCTTCGCCCTGGTTTCCTCTTATCAGCTCCTTATCCCTCCCTTTTTCGTGGATCAATTAGAGACAGAGCAGTCACCATGAGTGGGCGTAAGTTTCCCATGCATATATTGTCTGCCTCATCAACCCCCCTTTCCTCCCTCCTCCCACCTGTTCAAGTCCATTGCGCCTTTGGAAACCCGAAGTGCTGACTGTAGATAGTACGCTTCCTTGACTTAATCAAACCCTTCACGCCCCTCCTCCCGGAGGTGGCTGCTCCCGAAACCAAGGCCCCCTTCAACCAAAAATTGATGTGGACAGGTGTATGTTGGAGATCCTTGCCATTGCGCGCATTTCACCGGGTTATTCATTCACACGCTGATCCCATTGCGCAACAGTTGACTCTACTCATATTCTTGGTCATGAGCCAAATGCCGCTCTATGGCATTGTCTCGTCAGACACGTCCGATCCTCTCTACTGGCTCCGCATGATGTTGGCCAGTAATCGTGGTACCTTAATGGAATTAGGTATCACTCCCATTATTTCCTCCGGAATGGTTTTCCAGGTATGACATGATATGACACGTTCATTAAAAGCTTCTGATTTGATTTGCGTCTTTGTGTTTGTGCAGCCGATGACCATTTAACACATATTAATTCACAATAGCTTCTCGCCGGAACTCACCTCATCGATGTTAACCTTGACCTTAAAACCGATCGCGAACTCTACCAGACCGCGCAAAAGCTTTTCGCAATCATTCTGTCTTTCGGTCAGGCTTGCGTCTACGTCCTTACTGGCCTCTACGGCCAGCCCAGCGATCTTGGTGCCGGTGTCTGTGTTCTGTTGATCGTTCAACTGGTTGTTGCCGGTCTGGTCGTCATCCTTCTCGACGAGCTTCTCCAGAAGGGCTATGGCCTTGGAAGCGGTATTTCCCTTTTCATCGCAACCAACATTTGCGAGTCGATCATCTGGAAGGCGTTCTCCCCGACCACCATCAATACCGGACGTGGCCCCGAATTCGAGGGTGCGGTCATCGCCCTGTTCCACCTGTTGCTCACCTGGCCAGACAAGCAGCGCGCTCTCCACGAAGCGTTTTATCGCCAGAACCTGCCGAACATCATGAACCTCCTTGCCACGCTCGTCATCTTCGCGACTGTCATCTACCTCCAAGGCTTCCGCGTCGAGATTCCTGTCAAGTCGTCCCGCCAGCGTGGCATGCGCGGCTCCTACCCAGTCCGCCTTTTCTACACCTCCAACATGCCAATTATGCTTCAATCCGCCCTCTGCTCCAACATCTTCCTGATCAGCCAGATGCTATACTCCCGCTTTTCGGATAACCTTCTTGTCAAGCTCCTGGGTGTCTGGGAACCACGCGAAGGCGGATCTGCCCAACTCTATGCCTCCTCGGGAATTGCCTACTACATGTCTCCCCCACTTAACTTCAAGGAAGCTCTCCTGGACCCCATCCACACTGCTGTCTACATCGGTTTCATGTTGGTTGCCTGTGCCCTGTTCTCCAAGACCTGGATTGAAGTTTCTGGCTCTGCTCCCCGCGACGTTGCCAAGCAGCTTAAGGACCAGGGACTCGTGATGGCTGGACACCGTGAACAGAGCATGTACAAGGAACTTAAGCGTGTGATCCCTACCGCAGCTGCCTTTGGTGGCGCCTGTATCGGAGCCTTGTCTGTAGCCAGCGATTTGCTCGGAGCTCTTGGAAGTGGAACTGGTATTTTGTTGGCTGTCACGTAAGTATTCCTGTCATTTTCGTCTACTATCACACACATATACACACTCACATATACACACTCACATCCCCTTTTGTTTTGTTTTGTTTTGTTTTGTTTCTTACTAATAATTCCCGCAGTATCATCTACGGATACTTCGAAATCGCAGCACGAGAAGGTGACTTCGGAGCTGGCCTCAAAGGTTTAGTCCCTGGAAACTAAACGAGTCTTATTTATGACGACTCTGCGGGGGTATATTTATTTCCACTCCGCTGCCTTAATATATTCTCATTATTTCTGTTTTATTTCCATGGTATGGGAGTTATAAATATCCTTTGGTTGTGACAGATCGCATCACATACGCTAACTCCTCGGGCGTGGCGTCAGAAAAATCAAACAGAAACCTTGAGGCGATAGGGGCTGGGTAGTTTGTTTTAAGGATTCTTTTAGCTATTTTCCTGGTTCTGTTTAGGTATACCGCAGCTGAGCAAACAAAAATTCCTTTTTTATTCTTCTTCTTCAACCAGCTTTATTGGATTCCCCCATTTTTCTGTTTTTGATGCTAACTCTCTTATTTACCTTTCTTTTTGCGCCTCCGTTTCTTTCAGGTTGGAGTGTGCTTGTTGGAAGAAAGGAACCAAAAGAAAAAGAAAAAAAAGAGAAAAAAAAATAGAGGCGCTGGTTTTTTAAAACGAAAAAAGCAACTGTATATATAGCTACCTAAGCACTATCTATCTACTTAACAGCGTGTAATGATACGGAATCTCTTTTGAACAAATGACTTGGCATCCAGGTACTCTATCAAAAACTCCTCTCGAAATCGTACCCTTGACAGCCCTTCTCATACACACACCCATTTCATTCAAGTCCTATAATCCCCATTAATAGTCACATACTCATGACTAAAATCACAAAACCAATAAATCCCCTCTTCCCCACCCATCCCCTCCTCACCCCTCTCCCCACCACCAAGATCAACCACAATCTCCAAATCTTCATCCTGCAGAATCCTCGCTGCCCGCTCCTCATCCACTATCTCCGGCTCCCCATTAACAAGCAATTTTAACTCCTCACTCCCATCTACAGGTTTAAAGCTCACACTCGTCCGCTCAGGCACCACCGTTCCCGCCTGAATCCCCTGCGTATACCCGATGGCACACAATATGCGTCCCCAATTCGCATCTTTGCCATACAGCGCCGTCTTAACCAGCGGCGACCGCGCAATCGTCGACGCAATAGCCCTTGCATCCGCCTGGGACGGCGAATTAAGCACGCGCACAGTGACGAATTTAGTTGCGCCCTCGCCGTCGCGGACAACAAGTTGCGCAAGCGACTGTGCAAAGCTTGTCAGGACGGTTTGCATGGCTGCGTAATTTGGGGAGGAGGGGGTGGTTATTGTCTGGCCACCCGCGGCGCCGTTGGCGAGGAGGGCGACGGTGTCGTTGGTGCTTGTGTCGCCGTCTATGGAGATGCAGTTAAAGGAGCGGGAGACGGCGTGGGAGAGGAGGAGTTTTAGAGCGGCGGGGCTGATGGGGACGTCGGTGCAGAGGATTCCGAGGAGGGTGGCCATGTTTGGGTGAATCATGCCGGCGCCTTTGGTCATGCCTGCTATGCGGTAAGTGTGGTTAGGGGAGGAGGGGAGGGTGAAGGTGCGTGAGAGGAGCTTGGGGAAGGTGTCTGTGGTGCAGATGGCGCGGGCGGCTGTGAGCCAGGCTTTGTGGGTTGAGGAGAGGCTAGAGTGGGCGACTGGAATTGTGTTGAGGATTTTCTCGATGGGGAGACTGTGGATTGTTTGGATATTAGTGACCGTGTAGGGTAAGGAGGTGGAAGAGGTGGAAGAGGTGGGATGAAGGGTATTAGCTGAGGCCCGTCTTACCGCTGTCCGATAACGCCCGTGCTCATGACGAGCGTGCTAGGTCTCTTAGAACTGGTTGACGGTGTGCCATTGCACTCGTCAACTTTTGCACTCATGCTCTTGGCATCTTCCAAACCTCCCTTGCCCGTTACGGCATTGGCACAGCCGGAATTAATCACCACTCCTGTGATATCGGCACCCTCCCTTGCTTCCAGCACCTGCTTGCTCACCTGGACTGGAGCAGCTTGAAACTTGTTCGTGGTGAAGACAGCAGCAGCAGAACATGGCGTCTCGGAGCATATCAAGGCAACATCGGGAAACTGAGTGTTTGACTCCTTTACCCCGGCATGGGCACCAGCTGCGAGGAACCCCTTGGGGTACGTCCCTGAGCTAGGGACGAACTTCTGTTTCGATGCCGGTATTGAAATGTCCTTTAAAATAGAGTAACAACGGGATTGGCCAGTTTTGCTCATGGGAAAGCGCACAAATCCGGCCACAACGTGCAAAGACTGGTGGGCCTTCATGATATTGATTTGTTGTTATGAGAATACACCGAATATATCGGCCCCACTTTATACCTAAAGCAGCGCAATATCCGCTGAATAGGAGAAATATGGTACCCTCAGGAAAGATGTACGAATGTTTAAATATACTAAAGATGCTCGATGTCCGAGTGCAGAGGCGGTTTGTGCAGTTTTGGGACGCCCAATCGCTAAGTATACCAAGAATGCCCTCAGAATTGGTCTTGAGAAGAGACGGGATGTAGGGTGGGTTTGAAGGCCAAAACTGAGCCCCTCCAAGAGCTACCCCACTCAAGACGACCACAACTTCCCGAATTGGCTCAATTGACTTCCCAATTCTTGATATATGTCTGTTTTCTCACCGTGACTCAGGGTTGGATGAAGTTGAATTTGGGGATTGTGAGATCTGGATGACATAAGACGGCAATCACGTGGGTTCGTGTTGACCAAGTTGCCAGCTTCGACGCTCCGATCTCAAAGAGATTTTTAATTCTTCTCTTCAGCCCACGCATTTCCAGCTCATTTGTGCATGGGTTTCGCTGGTGTGATCCTTTAGTCCCGCGATCAACGATCACAATGAAGCGCAAACTACCAGACACCTCGGAACAAGAAGAAGATAACAGCTTAATCAACACAACACCACGAAAACGACGAACGGCGGATCTCCAATGCTCCTCGAAAAGTAGAAATAATACAGATCTACCCAAGACACCCTCGCGGAAACTACGCGCTGCAAATAATAAGTCCAAGATACAACCTACACCCGTTGTGAATGGGCCAATCCAAGACTCCCTAACTCCTAAAGGGAAATCCAGATCGTTATTCGCAACACCCTCAAAGGCCACGGGGAAAAAGCCTACAAATGCTTCACCGCCCATAGTAAGGAATGCTGATCGCTCAGCGAGAAGGAAAAGTGCCCGCGTACTTCTGGACCCTAATGACGACGATGACTGGGACGGTGCAGTTCAATTGGCGCAAGAGATTTGGGATGCGGAAGACGAAGAGACCGGCGCGGACAATGGGGAGAAGGGAACAAAAAAAGGGAAAAAATCTCAAGTAAATGGCACCGAAAATCCTGAAGCTTCCCCGAAACGTCGGGCGGGACGGCCCAAGGGCGCGAAAAATAGGCGCTCTCCTACCCCGGAAGGAGACCTCCCGCCGCACGAGAGATACTTCTTTCAAAACAGACCCGGTCCCGTACAGACTTCGGACAACACATTGGCAAAGCTATCTCTTCTGACGCATGAGGAGTATTTCGAGCAGCTGGGGAAATTTGAGGACCCACACCGAGAAGAGAAGGAGTTTCTACTCGAACTACATGAACGGTCATTTCCACAATGGGAATTTGAGTTGAGCGAGGGATTTAATATATGTTTATATGGATATGGGTCGAAAAGACGTCTCGTTAATCGATTTGCGGAATTCCTTTCCCAACGTCACAGCGATCCGCCCACGATTGTGATTGTCAATGGTTATATGTCTAGCACGACGATACGGTCTATACTTGCAACGATCATCGGCGCAATCCTTGGCCCTGATACTCCGTCGAAACTTGGAACTCAGCCATCAGAGGTTTTGGAACTCCTCCAGTCTATTCTTGACACTAAACCACCTCCGCACCCGATAATGGTCTTTATAAATTCTATTGATGCTTCCGCACTCCGGCGTGCCGCTCACCAGTCAATTCTGGCGCGTCTTGCTAGCATCCCTCTAATAAATGTCCTAGCCACGGCTGATACACCCAACTTTCCCATACTTTGGGATGTCAGTCATCGTGACCAGTTCAATTTCGTGTTCCATGACTGCACCACCTTCATACCGTATGGCGTGGAATTGAACGTTGTTGATGTGGTGAACAGCTTGCTTGGACATCAAGTACGTCGGATCGGCGGGAAGGATGGAGTCAACTTTGTCCTTAAAAGCCTTCCGGAAAACACACGAAAACTATATCGGTTATTGGTGACGGAAATCCTTACATTATTAGGGGAGCAGCATCTTTCCGATGATGAGGACGCTGGCGCTGGTGGGAATCAAGATCGTGGTGGTAATGAAGGGGAGGAAGTAGCCATTGAATGGCGGACGCTATTTCACAAAGCTGCCGAAGAGTTCATCTCCTCATCAGAGATGATGTTCCGTACCCAACTGAAGGAATTCTACGACCATCAAATGATCGTGTCTAGAACTGATGCCAGCGGGGCGGAACTGCTTGGCATTCCACTATCCAGAGAAGAAATGGAAGGGGTCTTGGAGGATCTGGTTATTGATTGACATGCAATTTAACAATAGCAAGCATGTTGTCTTCTTCCTGCAGTTGCGCTTTTGTAACCTCCATGCCATCTATATCTAATTACGCGCATATGATACCCTACCCATCTTAGAGCTTAGTTGAATATATTGACAGAGAGATAGCTGTTTCCTATCAACCTAAACTCCGAGTTTCCAAAATATTGCTGCCTTGCTTAGCTGCCTAGATCCAGGAAATGAACAGCATCTCGTAATCTTTGACATGTTATGTTGTTTAGAATTGCGCAAACGCAGATAGCAACATCATGACTCCGAAACTAACTTTGAAAGGGGCGTTCTCAGTCAACAGCCGTTGGACATTAACGGATTTGACATGTTTCTTCAGCCAGCCGGTCGGGACGATATTGTAACCCTTTGAAGCAGCCCACTGATAGTTACCAAGGACATGAACAGTTAGCAACTTGAAGCACAAGGATGGAAGTATCCGATAGCCGATCGCAACAACCAGCTAATTCTCCAATTCACCAACAAAGTCTTCAAAAACAAAACACTAGATACAACGAGAACCTTGAAAATAGCATACCTGAATCCCCAAAATCGTGATTCCCAACGCAAAAACCAACGCCCTCGAAAATATCCTCAATCCAATCCCAGCCAATAAACCCAGCACACTTCCAAGGCTAATCTGCCCTGCTGTCTTCTCGCTAATGCCGCCACGGCTGCGGACTGGATTCGCCGTTTGAAACCATCTGCTGCTGCTGCTGCTGCTTGAGGGCGAATGGCCGGCAGCGGAGAAGGGAGCAGGAGCGTCGCAGTGTATAGGCTGTCGTTGGAAGAGGGCGGAAGAGAGGGCGAGGCCAAGGGGAACGGCGAAGAGGATGGGCCGGGTTGGGACCAAGAGGCGGGTGAGAAAGGGGAGAGACATCTTGTGTTCCTTCAATGGAAGTGTTTGGGCAATTTATCCGGGGCGTACGGAGTCGTATTTGAGGAATTGGAGTAGGTATTTGCCAATTGTGAGGGGCAGTGGTCTGGGGAGGTTATGTGGAGTCTACTGTTCTTAGGCCCTCTGATAGCTGTCCGTTATTTTGTCGATCGAACCCAGGAAGCTTGTGATGTTGTGATGATGTCATACGCCGAGAGTGTGGAATTAGGCTTTTAAGATTGTGTGCTAGTCATCGGGAGCCTTACTCAATATGGGTTAGTGGATGAATGTTTAAATTCTCTTTCTCTCGTTCTGTTTATTGTACTCACATGGATGATGGAGGTCTATATTATGCACTATCAACATAGCTATGTATTCTTAGGAGCCATTTTACACGCCATCAGTGAGGAATTGCTGCCTGATGTTGCTCTTCCAGCAGTTTTATTGATCAATGCTTGATCTGGCTTTCCCTGTGTTGAAAGCAATCTGCTCATTTCTGTGTTGAGCTCAGTCACGGCTATTATGGTGCCTGCTTGTGAGCTGGATCGGTTTGCAAGGAATTGAGAGGCATTTGTCTGATTAATGACATAGGGAGTTCCACTGATACATTATCTTGCACCACCCACTCTTTAGCTAAGGCTCAATTCGATTGCAAGGGGCTATGTGGGGTGTCCTTCAGCGGCTTCCTCTCATCTGGGAAACTTTACCTTTATGCACCTTCTTTTCGCCATTAGAACTCTGGTTGTATACTCGATCTTCTACCGTTTTACTTGCGTCCATTGGCGAACTATAAGGGACCTCTGCCAGCTCGTGCAACGATGTGGCGGTACACGTCCATTGAGCTTGGTCTAGGAATATCTATGGTTGGTAAACTTTGGGATCTACATGAAATATATGGTCAGAGTTTCCATTCTTTCAATATTAATATGTTTTGTCACTGACCAAGGACCACTCGGAGAAAAAAAGAAAATAAAAGAGAAAGAGAAAGAAAGAAATCACATGTGGGATTACTTTTTTCGCTTTAAGGTGTATTAATAGTGGGCCCTGCGGGTAAAATTGTTCGCATTTGTTCTGAATGAGATGGGATGAATATTTGCAAGAATCCACCCACTTAGGCGAAACTTTTGTATTAAGAGGACAAAAATTGTGATTATGAAGGGACCACTAACTGCATTCATGCTAATGTCAAACACAGCCTTCTACCTTTGATGAGATATATCACAGTTGCCAGTGCTAGAACAAAGAGCCTGTGATCCCTATGGTGAAGATTCGTTCTTCGCTTGAATTCCTCATCTTCCACGAAGCCAAAGAGCGGAAGGATATTCTACAGCCTCTCTTCTCTAGGCGGGCAATAATAGAGATGCAAGATCTAGTCCACGAGAATGTACGCCATCATTTTGGAACATACAAAATTTCAGCCTGCCCTTTTATTCTTCCCGTTATTATTCCAATTCCTCCCCTCCAGTCACCTTTCTGACATAAAGTATGCAGGATCAACCAACTATGCTCTGTACCCTTCACAAAAAATGCGAAAGGCAAGTCTTCAGGCTTGCCATGGACAAGATTACACACTTTTGCTTCGCGTGGTCTATCAACGCGATCGATGCGCCTTAATTCCGCGCCCAATCATCGAAAATATAGCAGCTCGAGCCATTTGCCACGTTCAAACACTTTAGCCTTACACGCAAGTTGGTTATGGGTCTACCATCATGGGTCAGCATCAAAGTGAGTCCGAAGACCTCAGGGCTTGTCCACTTGCAGCAGATTCTCGGGAAACAAGTAGTGGACATATGTAAAAATCCAAAGCTACTGGATGATACGCCTCACAAAATTATGAAGCATAAGCTGCTCCGGCTGGAAGCGAACAAGGAACGGTGAACGCCGTCGCCGGGTGGATTGTCCGAAGAGGCTCAAGTCTTTATGTTTTGGACTGTTATAAAAAATCTCTCCGGATTAGTCCTGGAGTCCTCTCAACACTTCTTCGAATAGACCCACCTTTAGGTGCCATAATCAGCTCTGCATTTATACCTGGCGGAGTAAGTATTGGTATCCCATTTTTCCAACAAACATACACATTTGACTCATAGCAGGACGCTATCGATATGCAGATTATCGCCGGTATGAGCGGCACATTGGTCCACGATGCCGAAACCATCTTCCTATATGCAAATCCTTTTCAGCCCCGATCGCTGGCTTGAGAAGATCCGGATCAGTTACTGGTGGCCTCTTCAAAAGGTTCTAGATGTTTGGTATAAAGTATGTATGACATATGTGCATCTTGATAACCTTTTTGGCGGCTGGCACCTGTCACATCACTAATTGGTGGGGGAACTAAACCAACTTTAACTAGCAAATATAGTCTTGCCTGGTGTGAAACCATACATCGCATTTGAGACGATGTTTCGAAGGTTCGACATGAGACTAGATTGCACGAAGCAAGTGTCATTTATAAAGATGCCTATCTCATCCCATTTAGCCCTGTCAAATCTGACGAAGTGGATCTTGACCCTCCGGCCTCTCCCTGCGAGAATGCTTTGTCACTTTTATGGTAGTCGTTTGCAAGCATTTTGCATAGTGAAGTCGCGATATGAGAATGAGAAAATGAACCTGGAGAAGGAATGGCATTTAAAATAATTTGATCTAGTCGCGGTTGGAGAGCTGTATTGAACTGGATTTTTTTTTTATTTATTTAGGGAATCCGCATTTATCGTCAAATTACGTACAGCACTTCATGAAGCTGCGGGAGATGCATACAGGCTGGTTTTAATCACAAGCAGATGCTGGGATGCAGACGAACTGCCAGATCGGACTTCAAAAGGCAGCAATATAGCATTTCTCCTTCCATACTCTTAATTCAGCCAGTTCGCCTAACGCACGATACATATTATCAGAAATCAATTTCCGTGTCATTTCTCCCAATCCCACTCCTCACCTAAACCAACAGATGCCGTTTTAAATAATTCCAGCACCCAAAAATAACTTCATAAGGGGCGACACATGATGCGAATCAACTCTCACCAACGACTTCGCTAAACAAACACACAAAACCCCCTTAATTCCCATCCAAATTTGCAACCGCCTCAATCTCGATAGCCATTCCAAACGCCAAGGTCTGCACCCCCACAACCGTCAACAGCGGCTGGTGATTGGGAAAATACTTGCGCAGATTGCGAATGATATGTTCGGCAATATTTTCATCGAGCGGGACAGTGTAACAGCGGAGCTTGTATATCTGATCCCAACCTGTGCCGCCGGCCTGTTTCACAGCATACTCGACATTGGAGAAGGCCTGATCAACCTGTGCGCCAATATCGTCGGGGATTTTCTCGGTGATTCGATCCCAGCCGCCTAATCGGGTGGTTAATTAGTTGCAAGTGGGACTTCTTTGGGGGGAGGGGGCTGTTTACCCTGGCCGGAAATCTCAATAGTGTTGCCGATTTTAACGGTCTGGCTGTAATGGGTGGAATCGCGGGCGGTCTCGCCGAAGCCTTCGTAGCTGGGGTAGTTGAGGTGAGCCATGGCTTGTTTGGATTTTGGGGCGATGGTCAGGCCTATATAAGCTGAGGAAAAGAAGAATTGGGGTGTGTATAGGGGTATCGAAATTAAGATGTTAGTGAGGATTAACCGCCGAGTTTGGTTCGATTAACTCCTCTGTAAATTGGGTAAAGATAATACAACGGAATCAGTTCGGGCTACACGTCCTTAAATATTATTTCAGAATCAAATCCATCTCCTGCAACATGCCCTCTGAGGGGGCAGTAGGGCCGATTGACCCCGCTTAGTTTTGTGGATCTATTCAAAGGGGGTTAAAGATGTTGAGCCTGAGAGCTAATTTAGAAGTGAGGATCTCAACATATAAAAAAGTAAAAAGAAATGAAAAAGAAAAAGAAAAAGAAGAGGTCAGTGCTGTGTGATACAAGCAAAGCTAGCTGCAATCTCGATACTCCCTAGGGTTGAAGATACCCTCCGGCTCAACTATTACCCCGCCGGTTCAATCATGGTTAGCCATCCAGACGGGCGGGCAAAAGTAACCCGGGGATTACAGTAGACGCTGGATTTATCATGCTGACGATCATTATTAATCGATTGTTGACCTTGGAACGAATTGATTTTCCTTAATCGGCTAGAAGGCAATTATTTATAGCACAGGACTACCAGATTGTCGAATGATTCAGAACGCGGGCGGCTTGGGAAGTTTCTATTAACTTATCCCATCTCCGTCCCCATACGCTGTTAAGGCCTTGGTAGAAAACCTGTTTCCTCCTTCCGCTACGAATGTTAGCGGGATGACCTTCAGCATTTGTCCAACTTAAGTGAGTATCACAGCTAGGGGCTGAGATAACCATCACCTGTGATTACAAAGCTCAAAGCTGTATGCCTAGTTAGTTGAATATGGATCTAGTCTTTAACATCGGAGGGTGATAGATTGATCCATAGTGAGGATATATATTACCAAATGACACCTTTGCTGACATTCTCGAGGAGGATTTGCAACTCCATTGCTGCTCTATGAGTGATGGCAGCTTTGCGGTCTGCAACGGGCGGGCAATTGAAATCCATTCCTTGACTACATGTGAGTCCAGCGTTCCATTAGAAGATATAACTTTGTTCTTTTAGTGGTTGCTGGCGCCGTCAAATGGATGGATATATAGTCGCAACACGGGTTCGTACCCAATGTTTTTATAACTGATACGCAATGCTAGTATACGCGTAGCAGCGGGGAAAGATCCAACGATAGCCCAACACCCCCATTTCTGAGGACCGCGGACATTGCCTGACGCGTGTTCAAGATCGATGGACGCTTTGACAGTCGTTTCTATGAAACGACTTCAAGGAGCGCCATGCATTTGGTAAGTCCTCTGGCCGGATAATTAATTGACAGGACAAGAAACCCCCGAGGATATCCAACTTGCCTCTGCAGAATATATGCATTGGAGTGACCGCCTCGAATATAGGGAAGCAATATCAGTTGCGGGGGAGACATTTGTTCGATCTCTATCCATATCTTGGGACCCAGCACCGGAGAGTGAGAAAACTGGAGATTGCCCCTCGCTCCCGCAGTGAGAAGCATGCATGCCACCAAATTCCGAGAAAATGACTACGCAGGTGAGACGTCAACTCGGCTTCAAAGCCCAACCGGAAGCTGGCAATGTCACCGGGTTGGATTGTGGGGCGGTTAACAGTCGAAGGTGAATAACGAATCCAACGTAAGCTGCCAGAATCCCAGACCCTGTGTCCATCAAGCAACTATCATGCCCGCCAAAAACGCGGTTACGGTGTTGATAGGGTTCAAACCATGAATCCTGGCTCATATGCCACTCGACTGTTTCGCTGGGAATAGTTAACATTAACCACCACCACCACCGTGTAGATAACAAGATAGATATAGCTACAAGACATAGTTTTGCTGGCACTGGGAAAGGGATGCGCCGGGGGTAGCCGGGCGCTTACTTAAGCCGGACTGCGGCAGAGCCACCCGAGCCCTGATTATTAATTAATTATTAATTAATTATAAATTTAACTCTTCCTCAACTTCAACCTCGTCTCAGATCCCCAGGATATTCGGAGTTCAAGTAGTTGTTTACAATCGTGCCCGAGACATCAAAGCAACCCTCTTCTGAAGGCAGCTCCGCCGTTGGCGCAGCGTTCCATTCGTTGGTTAGCTCCAGTTAACCGGCATCACTGACTAACTGCAGTGCCCAAGGTACCTGGCTGCGCTTTTAACTCTGCGCCCTTGTGGGAACAAACTCTCCCGCTGGCGCTTTTCTTTCTCCCGTAGTGACTCACTCGGCGCTGCGGTGCTAAGCAACTAATCTCGCAGTTTATCTGGTCCTCCGCCGAACTCGAAGTTTTCGTTCTCATATTTTCTTCCGCAATTCCTTCACGCTCCGTGGTGAAAATCCTTCCTCTCCAGCGCGCAAGAGTTTTGACTTCTGTCCATAGTGATTAAGGACATTTTCCGATTCAATCTTGTCCCCCCCGTATTCATTTTTCAATAAGATCTTTGCCCCTCCTCTGAAGAACCTTTACCCCTCCACACCTGAAGGGCTAAGTCAACTTAGAAGTCTCCCCGCAGTATCACCCATTCCCAATGGCAACAGAAGCACCTAACGGACCCACGCCCATTGGCAATGCTGTCACTTCTACGTCACCGGCCGACTTCACTGTCAAGGCCGGCCTTGCTCAAATGCTGAAGGGCGGCGTCATCATGGATGTAGTGAACGCAGAGCAGGTACCTTTCCCCCCATTTTTTTTGTTAGAAAAAACGAAGAAAAGGGAAAAAAAAATGTAACTTTTGTATCTTCGCCCCCGAGTGTGTGACCATCACAAACCATTCCACTCCGTCTTTCACGCCACCAAACGAAACTTCTGACCAAAGCATCGGCTTTTTAAACATGTTAATAGGCTCGTATCGCCGAAGAAGCGGGTGCTTGCGCTGTCATGGCGCTTGAGCGGGTGCCAGCGGATATCCGGGCTCAAGGCGGAGTGGCGCGCATGTCAGACCCGTCAATGATTAAGGAGATTATGGGAGCTGTGACAATACCAGTCATGGCTAAGGCGCGGATAGGCCATTTCGTCGAGTGCCAGGTACGTGTATCCTTTTATACTTGAAAAAAAAAATTAACAAATATCAAATATCAAATGTATATACCACCTTTCTACGCAGAACCACCACTCTAACAATATCAACACCTCCAGATCCTGGAAGCCATCGGCATCGACTACATCGATGAATCCGAAGTCCTCACCCCAGCCGACCAGCTCTACCATGTCACCAAACACCCCTTCAAAGTCCCCTTCGTCTGCGGCTGCCGGAACCTAGGCGAAGCCCTCCGCCGCATCTCCGAAGGCGCCGCCATGATCCGTACAAAGGGCGAGGCAGGCACAGGCGACATCGTCGAGGCCGTCTCTCATATGCGCACCGTCAACAGCCAGATCGCCAAGGCCCGCGCCATATTGCTATCCGGCTCCTCGTTGCCGGGCGGAAGCGTCGAAGCCGAAGCTGAGCTGCGAGCCTATGCGCGCGAGCTGGAATGCCCATATGAGCTGCTGCGGGAGACGGCGGAGAAGGGCCGGTTGCCAGTTGTGAACTTTGCCGCGGGCGGGGTGGCCACGCCTGCTGATGCGGCGTTGATGATGCAGCTGGGGTGTGATGGAGTGTTTGTTGGATCGGGGATTTTTAAATCGGGGGATCCGAGGAAGCGGGCCAAGGCCATTGTCCAGGCCGTCACGCATTACAGGGATGCGAAGGTGTTGGCGGAGTTGAGCCAGGGGCTTGGAGAGGCTATGGTTGGGATTAGCGTGAGGGATATGGGGGAGGGACAGAAGTTGGCGAAGAGGGGGTGGTAGATATGTGTTTCTTGTTTTTTTAAGGGTCAGTGCTGAACGGTTGATGTTGGGGTTGTACAGCGAGAGAGCGAGCGTACGATTTACATGTACATAGACTTAAAAGTGAATACCACTTGTTGGGCAGCTGTATATGTATTGTCCAGTACAGTTATTTTACCTTATATACTTGCGCATGCTTAGATATTCAAAAATGGGAATCGGGAGAAGCAAGGGACGGCAGAAAGAGGAGAAGGAAAAGAACCAGAGCCATTAACCCCCCTTACATATACAGCTTCAACACCTAGGAGTGTTGAGGGAAATGGACATTAGCCTCCTACCCCTCTCCTTATTTCCCCTTCCCAATACATTTCAAGTTCGTGTGGTTTTGTATTTCTCAATTCAAAGTCCTTTTCGACATATCAAAGGCACGAAAAGATAACTAAAAGACAGTGACAAAAGGCCATGCCTCAACTAATGATACAATCACCCCCACGAAACATAAGCGCATCAAATGCAAACGCGCAGACATGCCAAATCCACAATATGCAAAGGTGGCACGAATCTATATCTGCCTTTCCCTTCCCCCTCACCTTCACCTTCCCATCCCACATCCCAACCACCCTCCAATTCCTACCTGCCACCACCTATCCTAACTCGCATACTCAAACCCCTTCCCCCTACACGCAATCCAGTAATCCCTCACAACACGATTCGTCCCCTTCGAACCCCTCTGCAAGATTATCGACGACAAGAACCTCTCCCGCTCCGCCTTCTCAGGTATCCGTCCTATCCCCCCGCTACCCCCGGGTGTAGCAATATTAACCCCTAACTCCTCCAGAGCATTCCTAAAATGCACCCGCGCCGCGCCCTGGCAGTGGAATACGAATTTCTTGATAACCTCAGACAGGTGGTCGAGATCCGAGCGCGCACAGTGCCCGGATACCTGGTACATGAGGATTTTGCCGAGGGAGCAGAGGCAGGTGTCGAAAAAGTGGGCTGTTGGGGGAATCGTGTCATTGGGTATGACCGCGGTTGCGGCGGCTGGGTGCTTAACAGTGGAGCTACCGGGACCTGGCCGGAGTTCAGGTGGTAGATCTGGGAGGGAGAAGAGGGTGGACCAGAAGGCTGAGGCGGAGCGGAGTGGGAGTGGGTCTGGTCCTTTGAGCACTGCCATGGTAAAGGTGAGGATAGTGGGGATGACGGGGCTGTGTTGCGGTGTTGGTGGGTGGATTAGGTTGAAGAGCGCCGCTTTGTGCTTTGGTAGCATTAAGTTGAGGAAGTCGGTGCAGCTATGCGCGACTTCCGGGTCGTACTGGGTGGGCTGGGCGTTCATGAAGTTCATCAGCTCGTAGACGTGAATTATTAGTTCTGTGGCTTCGCTTTGGACTGCGGAGGGGTTCGCGGAGTGAGATGCTAAGAATGCTGAGGCGGTTGCCATGATAGTAGGGAAGCGAGGAGAGGTAATACTGGCGGTTTTAATGAAGCGGATAGTAACTTGAGGTGGCAGTACATATGGGCCGGGAGTAGACTCTGTGTATCCGGCCTTGAGGACGTCGCAAGCAGCTTCAATTACGTCACCGTCCATCGGGAATGTGCCTATTAGTATGTCAAGGATCTGAATGATGTATGCTTGTGGTGTTTGCCCGAGTTCATTGTCAGTCCAGAAATTCTTCGCATCAGGGGAAGGCGGCTCCGAATCAAGGTCAATAACAGCATCATCAGGAGGAGCCCGGAACCCCTTCCCTATACTTGCAGTGCAACGCATCGCCTTGATACCCTTTTCAAGAGCATCATCATACTGATTATATTGTACTTCTTGTCGAGCTTGTTCTGCTAGCTGATGGAGGGGCATCAAAAGTTTGATCAAATATGTCGCCTTAGCTGTATCTGAAGTGGCAGCTTGTACAACTGCTGCAATGCCTTCCGATACCCGCTCAAGGGTAGTGACATTAACTGCAGAACTGGAACGAAGCTGATCAAATTTATTGATGAAATCATCAACATACATCGGGAGCGCTTGGCGACAGTTCTGGCATAGAAAGGAAATTGATTTGGAGGCAGCTTGATCGCATGATTGCGCATCTAGGGAATTAAATAAAAAGTTGAGAATGCGTGGGAGAAGGTAATGGTTTCGTTCAAAGTATACTGTATACCTTGCAGTCATGTCGCATAGAGTCTGGCGGGGCTTCATCGGTATTGAAATCCGATTGAAGCAAATGCCATCGAATATTTCTGAACGGAAAATATTGAAGAGCAGCTTGTCCACTTTTACGCTCTCCGCAACCGAGTCAGCCATGAAGGCAAGGCAAAATATCGCAACTTCAAAACTGTCCCATACTTGGGTGTTTATCGACTCGGTTGCTCGTTCAACGAGCTTTTCAATAAGCCCAAATCCCAGAAGTGGATAGGTAGAGAGTAAGAAGTCGGCAAAGTCGCGCCTAAATCCATTGAAATTCCTCACGTCATCATCGTCCCACTCAGTTAGCACTGATGGACTGGGATATCGGAGTTTATCATAGCAGTCAGCGATGACTTGAGCAAACTCTCCCGTTATACGCCCTGGCTCAACTTCTGCTTCGCCCTGCATGACGTAATCGCTAATATCATCCACGGCCTCTGTCCAATACTCCAGAAGCAATGTGCTTGCTTTGTCGTCAACTTCTACAAACCCTGGTCCGCGGAAAAGAGTATGAAGCAAAAACAGGATTCTTCGGTCCTCTTCATTTAGTTCGCCGGTTAGGAGATGTATTTGCTGCGCCGTGGCGTATCGGAGCAATAAGTCCAAGAATCGCATATTTTCCTCCTCGTAATCGCCCTTCAACAGAGCCAACGAATATTTTTCACCGAAATTTCCTGAGAGGAATTGCAAAATCGCTGCCATGTGCTCACTGGTCAATAACTTTGCATGACTATTAAGAATCTCGGCCAGAAGTTCCATTGACATCTCTGAAAGTTCAGGCACTGTTAAGAACTGAACAGAATAATTCAAAGAGACTTCAACTGCCGCTAAAAGACCATCAAGGGAAAGGCGGTCTCCCCTAACTGCAATGAGCCATGCCTGTAGGACGGTCTTTAGTAGTGAGTATGAAACGCTCGTTGGAGTGTGGGAACTTACGTTTAAAGACTTCATCGCTTCAATAGCTAATTGATTTAGCTGTTCTGAGAGAGGAACCTGATTGACGCCTGCGGTAAGATTGGATGTCTGCTGTAGAACGAACTCAACAAGGTAAAATGCATCTCTGAGATTGGCCCCTAGACGATCTCGGAGATCTCTACTTAAATTATCAGCATTATGTTGGGTTCGGTTCACTGATGGCAAGGAAATAAAATACTGCTGCGCACTCACTCATTTAAAGTGTACCGCAACGATTCCTCTGCCAAGGTTGTGGAAAACGATAGCAGTGTAAGCATTCGTTCACAACTGAACGAGGGCAGAGCAAGCTTGTCGAAACTTTCCTGGTCACATTGGTCTTCTAGAAGGTATTTTCCACTAGCCACAGACATGGCGATCTGTCTCACACAGTGTGTCCAGGGTGCACTGGGCTTGAAGAAGAAAGTTGTCAAGGTGGTCATAAATTTTCTCATGATGATGGAGGCTTCATCCCTCGTGATTAACAGTATAAAGATGTTAATCAGATGCACCAGGAGGTCTTTGGCTTTCGCTTCTCCAAGATTTACCCTGCAATAGGGTCAGCCTGAGATGCCAGAAGGACGGCCTCGGGGTAGGATACACCTACCAGTCTTGGTGGATTTTAATGGTCAGGGTGAGCGCACCAAAGAATCTCGCATTGGTGTCATCACTAGCTAGCAGGCCATCTGCAATGCCCCACCCTGCCTCTGACTTCTGCAGCACCTGCAATCTCTCCTGGATGGACTTAGCAAGTCCCGCATTCCCAGGAGCATTGAGGGCGTCGACAAGCTGACCAAATGAAATGTTAGATAGGGCTATTCGTATGATTGAAACACAAACAAAAAATAATACAACGTACTTGTCGGGCTTCGTCAAGGGGCCCCTGGACCTCCTCTGGAGCCGGGGGATTTCCTATCATCATCCCTTTCCTCGATATATGGGGATACGCCACTCTGTGCCGATGGCTAAGGGAAACTTCAGGTCACGTGGTGTGAACTCCTGCCCATATATCACCCAAATCGGTCAGGAAAACGAGATGGAAAGGAGATGGAAGTTGGACAGCTGTAAAGTGAGAATTCGTCAGATTGATATACGCAGCTAGGGTCAAGCAAATTTATGCATCAGTTGCCATGGGATGACCAAGACGGGACGGCGTCAGCAGCAGAGTAAAAACTGTTGCTTGATCACAGACAAAAGGGATAAACTTGTCATAGGCAGTGCCAAAAAAAAGCACAAAATTTATATTGCCTAACTCCTGTGCTCATCAGTGGAATCAGCCCTGAGACATATTCTCCCAAGTGAAAAATTGGCAGATGGTTTTTAGATTGGACACTTGGGAGATTGGATATTTGCCACATGCGGGAGAGGCGAGTGAGTCTCTTTCTTAATGTATTTTTTCCAATACAAGCAACTTTTATCCCATATAGCTGAGTTCCAGGCGATTCCATGCATATATGATAGAGTCAGTCTTATACACAGGATGGGGTTTTCCTTTCGTATACCTGTACACACAAACAAACAAAGGTTGGGTTGACTGGACTCGGCCCCGAATGTTTGGGGCTTGGTGACTAACTAGTTAACTACAGGGGAAGGCTCGCTTAGTCAGGCGCATCCCGTGACTCTCTCCTTCTCGATTTCAACGACGACGACGTCAAACGAATCTCAACGTCTTCGCAACAGAGAAATATACGTTTGCTTTTGGTTGTTATTTTCTCTGCTATGCCAAATGCTGTTTGCTGGCTGCCAATTGACTGGTCATCTACTGTTTAAAATACCCCGAATCAACACCAATGATACACTCTGAAGCCCTTTCGCCAGTTAACTAAGTCGTTCCAGAGCTTGCAGCTAGTTAACTAGTTGCTCACGCATAAACCACCGGGTCGGCCTGATCTTGGATAGTGAATTAATTAATTATCTTTCCCTCCGACATTCTATCTGCACCTCGCAAAATTCCATATCAACCTTATCAGGGACTATGATAAATGCTACTTTTCCGTCATTCGTGCCGTTTTACATCTAACCCTTTCGCACGGCCTTTACAATCGTTGAACCTCTTTATCAAACCCGCATCTAGGTCATTTTCCTGTTCAGCAGAACGTCGGTCTGCAGATATGGAAACTGTCGATACGTCGCAGCGCCTGGCCCGTTTGAGGGAGTTGATGAAAGAGAGGAATGTCGACGTCTACCGTATGGATTCATAGATTAGCCGTTGCAAGAGGCCGCTTTCTGATATTTAGGTATATTTTAGTTGTGCCCTCTGAGGATAGCCACCAGTCAGAATACATCGCCCCTTGCGATGGCCGTCGCGGTCAGAATATTTCTTTTCTTGTTATCTAGACAATACTGCCGTCCCATTTTTCACCTTTTCAAAGACCTCCGCTCATGATTCCTATTAATGTACAGAATTCATTTCCGGGTTCTCTGGTTCTGCTGGATGCGCCATTGTGTCGATGACCAAAGCTGCTCTGTCCACGGACGGACGATATTTCAATCAGGCATCAAAACAGCTGGATAACAACTGGTTGCTCTTGAAGAGAGGTATTGAGAGCATGCCTACCTGGCAAGAATGGTATGATCCAGGAAATGCGACAAATAACAGGTAACACGGGACTAGTATATTGAGAAATTCTTTCATAGGACCGCGGAACAATTAGAGGGCGGTAAAGTTGTTGGGGTCGACCCATCACTCATCACAGCCTGTGAGTGATTTCTCAGCCTCTACAAATATTTCCCAGTCAAGAAGTGTGATTGACGCGTTCCAGCCGACGCACGAAGCCTTTCCGAAACAATTAAAAGGAGCGGTGGCTCCTTGTTAGGCGTCCAGGAGAACCTTGTCGACCTTGTTTGGGGAAAAGACCGCCCCTGCCGCCCAAGCGAAAAAGTGACCGTCCATCCTGTCGAATTTGCAGGGAAGTCATTCGAAGAGAAAATTACCGACTTACGGAAGGAACTCGAGAAGAAGAAAAGCGCAGGATTTGTTGTCTGTATGTGTCTGACGTGCTCTGGAATACCAGTAGATATGCTGACCTGAAAATATAGCGATGCTTGACGAAGTCGCATGGCTATTTAACCTTCGAGGAAATGAGTATGACTACCTGAACGGCTTTTAGTTCCTTTGATTCCTCCCACTGACCCTCTTCATTTACAGTATCCCATACAATCCAGTGTTCTTCTCATACGCCATCATCACACCATCAACTGCTGACCTGTACATCGACGAGGAGAAGCTATCTGCCGATGTGAAGAAACACCTAGGTGATAAAGTATCGCTGAAGCCATACACCTCCATTTTCGAAGACGCAAAGGCTTTAGGTCAATCTGCTCAAGCGGAAGTTAATGGTGGTGCATCAGACCCACCAAGGAAATTCTTCATTTCAACAAAAGCATCGTGGTCCCTTAGCCTTGCTCTAGGCGGTGCAAATAAGGTTGAGGAGGTTCGAAGTCCCATCTCCGATGCCAAGGCCATAAAAAATGATACTGAGCTTGAAGGCATGAGAGCTTGCCATATACGCGACGGGGCTGCGCTTACCAAATACTTCGCCTGGCTTGAAAATGAATTGGTTAACAAGAAGACGGTTCTTAACGAGGTAGAAGCCTCCGACAAGCTCGAGGAAATTCGATCAAAACAAAAGAATTTTGTCGGACTTTCGTTTGATACCATATCATCTAGTGGCCCAAATGCTGCGGTGGTTCATTACAAAGCAGAAAGAAACAACTGCTCTATTATTGACCCCGAGGCTGTATATCTATGTGACTCAGGTGCACAGTATCTGGATGGCACCACCGACACAACGCGTACGCTGCACTTTGGCGAGCCAACGGAGAAGGAAAGGAAAGCGTATACGCTTGTTCTCAAGGGCATGATTGCCATAGACACTGCCATATTCCCCAAGGGAACAACTGGGTTCTCTTTGGATACTCTTGCGAGGCAATTTCTCTGGAAAGAAGGCCTGGACTATCTCCATGGTACTGGACATGGCGTAGGGTCGTATTTGGTATGCTTTATTTCTTTCTTCTAGGTTTCTCAAGAGCTAACGGATTACAAGAATGTCCACGAGGGTCCAATTGGAATAGGAACGCGAGTTCAGTATTCCGAAACCCCTCTTTCTGTAGGCAACGTGATATCAGATGGTATGTTTGCAACACCTTTAGAATTTTATTGTGGAATCCGCTGACAGATTCGCTAGAACCTGGCTACTACGAGGATGGAAAATTTGGTATCCGCATCGAAAGTACGTTTTCGCCAGCCGCTGCAAATATAAAATTCCCTTACTAACACCCTATCTTAGACATTATAATGGCCCGAGAAGTGAAAACAACGTTCAGCTTCGGAGAGAGGCCCTGGTTAGGCTTTGAGCATGTTACTATGACACCACTATGCCGGAAACTTACCGATCCAAGCCTTCTAAACGATGCGGAGAAAAAATGGATTAACGAATACCACAGTGAAGTTTGGGAGAAAACTAGCGGCTACTTTGCGGAGGACGAGCTGACAAGAAACTGGTTGAAGAGGGAAACTCAACCTATCTGAGTAAATTTTGTGTCCGTGAGCTACTGTATAAATCTGACATACTGTGGATGGATACCAGAGGACTGTTTGGTATTGATATCTTTATAAATAATTCCTTCACTCTGGTGTTAGTTTATCATTTCTGCAACTAGAGGCACCATACCCAGTAATCGTGCCGCTGCGCAACCCACACCTCATGTGGGTGCGCCACACCAAAATGATAAAAACACCAAAATGATAAAAATCTTGAATCACATCCTCATTATTGCACTTTATATCAACAACCAATAGCTAATCTATAATAAAAAGATTATCTACATCATTCTCAGTATGTGTGCCATCTTTAAATCAATTTAATTCCTCTTCTGTCAATGGTATGAGTGGGTTATTGCTAATTTTCATGGAACCAACTCCAAGTCTTTATTGCTTCTTATTCTGCTCTTTTTCAGCTTCATTATTCTTACACTGCTTGATTTTTCTATTGGCATCTTTAATAGTAAGGACTTCCTCAACTTGAACCTGATGATAGATTGTTTTAACTCTGTGATATTTACTGATATTGAGAAAGTTCTCTAATTCAGTGATCTATTGCTCATTAAATTCCACATTGATTAGACTTGCTTTGAATATCTTGTTCAAACAACATGTTAAGATGAGTGATTTCAAATCAAAAGTATCTCTAATACTTTGTATGGTGTTTTCTGCAATATTAATATGATATTTTAGCTTTTGAATTATCTTTGATAAGGATAGCTGAGAGAAAGAGATAGATATGTGATCTGAATTATTCTCATCTTCATAAATCTGCAGTGAAGGAGGTGATGAGATTCACTGCTTAAGAGTGTTAAGAACTCAGTCAGAATTTCATGAATATATGCCATGTTAAGCTCATTCTGTAGCTATTGTATCAGATTTAAAGATCTGCTTTTGCATAGCTGAGAGATCTTGTAGAAACTGTCATTTTTCATACTTAACAAAATCATGATGTGCAGCATAGTTGACTGCTTTTGAATGATAATGCTTATATTACTGAAATGATAGATTATTCAGAAATTGTAGCAAATGAGTAGCATGTGATGAAAATTTATATAAAATTATTTTATGAAGATTTATATATTATATGAACCCCTCAGTGATATAAGATTCATGATTATTCATTAAAAGCAATTGATGACTTCTTTTCTATCTCTTTTCTGTAGTAGTATTGAAATATTTAAGCTATTTAAATTCAATCTCATTATTTATAAATTTAGTATCTGATATAGTCATTCTATAATTACTGAGTAAATCTGTCTGTGTATATCAATTCTTCAAGCATGTTTTGAAGGTCAAGATTATCAATGACAGAATGATATAATTATTTATAGATGCACATTTAATGACTATAATCAAACCTCTTGAAAAGAATAAAGAAATAATAGAATTAGCTTCTTTAAAAGCAGTTATAACTCATTCTCCATATCTTTGTCCTTCTTGAAATTCAATCTCATTGAAGTTATATGTATCATAGGCGTGAAATTGATATTGCTTAAATAAAATTCAGAGACATTCAAATCATGTATTGATATATTCAATATTTTCAACTGTCACTCTCTTTGAATTCATTGACTTCTATTTCACTCTCTTATACTCAGATAGGCATTCAATAAACCTATAAGTTCACATCTTGCTAACTTTTGAAGGAGAGGTAGTAGAATCTATATGCTAACATCTGAGCATTGAATTTGTGAAATCTTCAATGTATTCAGCTGTGGGAGGATAATTCTTTTCATCAAGCAGCTTGATTCATTATTTAATTGCAATTCTTCTGACCCTTATTTAATCTCTTGTTAACTGGAATCTTTGCAGTATTCAGATTTCTTCCATTGATATGCACTCTAAGATGTTGATAAGAAATCTCAAATTCTTGTGACAGAGGCAGTATTTTAGAATTTGAGTTTTTTGATGGTAAGTAACAGCTTTTTGAATACAGTCTTCAATATTTTTATCCTTATTTGACATTGTGGTGAGTTATTAATTGATGAAGATGATGAAGATTGATGTGTATAAGTAATCAAATAGATAAGATAAATCATATCTGATTCTCTTTTAATAAGATAAGCGGATGCTCTGCTGTATATACACACTATAATCACTCTATATGATAGGAGCAATTGCATAGAATAGGAAATATAAAAAAGATTAAGGCCTCTGAGTGGATTAGAGAGGGGCAAATAGAGAGTAGATACTAATATAGAAAGGGGTGGAAGAATAAGGGCGGAATGCCACAGTTCCCCTGTTCAAAAGAAGGGGTTCAGGCGCTCACATAAAGCAATGTCAAATAAAGAGGTGGGTAGAACTAGGGGGGGGTGATATGCTTTATTCATTTTAACCTATACGGTTTTTTGTCATAAAGGCCTTGACAAGCTCAGGGCAGTCCTGCAAGAGGTCGCCCAAGGGTTCTCAGGTGGGATTGTCATATCCCTTCCATTTGACCTGGAGGTAGGTTTTCCTATTGTCAATTCACTTTCTTATAATCTGTTCAACTTTGAATTGTGGCTGACCATCAACTATTACTGGTTCAGACAGTGAGTGATAAGTGTCTGCTCCTGTTAGATTTGTCTTTTCCAGGTAGATCATGGAGATTATGAGGTATATCCACCAATCAAACAGTAGCTCCAGTCAGAGAGCAACATTAGATATTTTCTCAAGAACATAGAACAGACCTATACATAGGCATGATAATTTTGATGATCTCTTCAAGATATAATCTTTCTGGGCTTTCTGACCAAGGTTAAGAAATGCTCAGTTCCCTACATAGAGATTAGGCAGCTGGTGGGTGCAGTTGAAGACTTCTATCATTCTCACCTGGACAAGTGCATATTGCTCAAGGACTTCTTTTTGCAAAGTCTCACACTCTGATATGAACTCTGTCACTGTACCACCTTCCTCCTCATCAGCAATTGACACTCACTGTGATTTGATCTCTGTCATAAGCTAGAATAGCAAGACTGAGGTAGAATGAGCTATAACTGAGTTAAGAGTTTATTCTATCTGCAGAAGCAGAATATTTCAATCTGTCTCATATCTACTTACTAGAAGTGTTTACAGCATGCCCTCAACAGTTAGATTGCTGTACTCACTCTGGCCATTTGACTGTGAATTGTAGATGATTGTCATTCAGCTTTTAATACTCATCAATCTGAGCAGGTATTTTCAGAAGTAAAAGGTGAACTTTGAATCTCAGTCAGATATAATTACCAGCAGTGGCTACCAATGGCATATCATCTTGCTGTAGAAGCTTTTCACTCATCAAGACATGTTCTACTTCTCCCTTCTGGCAATCAAAATAATTATCTTGAAGAACTTATCAGTTATAGTCAGAATAGTATCATAGCTATCACTGATAAATATGTCAGTGATAAAGTTAATAGAAAGCATCTTAAATGATTCTTTGAGTGATGGGATTAGATGCATTCTTTTTTAATAAGTGTGATTCAATGGTTTGATCACTTGGCAGTTGAGGCATTGCAATATGTGATCTAGAATTCTTCTTCAGATGTGTGGTAGAAAAAATGACTGATGAATAATCTTCTCTGCTTTATGCAGATCTGAGTAATCTACTGTATTATGACAAATCTGAATGATGTTCTATATGAGTAATTTGAGAATGTAGAGGCAAGCAATGTCAAAATATAGAAGCTCATCTTGAACTGTGAATGCATGATATTAATTCTTCTAACTCATCTTGCAGAAAATTTCCTTTAATGTTGAATTCTGAGAAAGCTTTCTATACAATTGCTTCTTAATCTCATCAATGAGCATCATCTAACTAGTAGACATCATACACATATCTGTCAGAGGTGCATCTGTCAGCTTTACATTTGAATGTCTCTCTGTCTGATTGATGATAGTCTGACAAATCTTCTTCTGTTTATTTAAAGTAATATTCTTCAAATTGTCAGTCAAGTTGTGCAGTCAGAATAGAGCATCAACATTAATGTGTGAGGCACTCTTGCAGTAGCAGATTGTCATTCATAGCAAGTATGAGCTCAGAACTAACACTCAATTCATCAGTTAATTGCTTCAATGACTCATTGTCAGTGACTACAAAGCAAATATAAGTGCAACATGATTAGTGACCATGATGAAATCATCATCTAAATATTGAGACAGCTTCTGTAGTGCTCAAATAAACTCAAGACATTTTAGTTCTGTCACTTAGTATTGTTTTTCCACTGTATTTAATTAACAGAAAAGAAATAGAATGAGTCTTTCAATATCATCTGTGCTCATCTAATGTAGAGTGACTTCAATGCCTCTTTGCTTGCTGAAATCTATATATAGAATGAAGAGTCATTTGAAGTCATAATAGACTTATATTGAGATGTCTACTAATGTCTGTTTGACTATCTCAAATGCTAGCTGTGCATCTGCTATTAATTTTTTATACTCAATTGAATCTTTGAATCTGATCATCTTTATTTTTGCAGTATATGAAGTTCTTTGACTTCCACTATGAGGACTATTTCTTAGAAGATGAGTTTTGAAAGTTTTCAATACTTCTATCTTATCAGCAAAGAAATTGGCAAAATTATGATAGTAATTAAAGAGGTCAACAACACTCTCTAATTCACTCAAAGAATTAGAGAATGTAAGGTTCTTAATTGTCTCTATCTTTTTCTTCTATGTGAATATGCTCAGCTGCTCAACATAATGCCTCAGCAGAGCTACTGATGAATAGATGAAGTAGCATTTTCTTAGCAACATTATTACTTCTGACTTCTTCAACACAGCAAATATACTGCTCAGGTGTTTGAGGTATTCATCCAGTTCTTGCAAGTATATTATTATATCATTCATATACTCAAGTATGAATTACCAGAGATATTGCATCAGAATTTCCTTTATCTGTTGTTAGAAGAACCTGGATAAGATCATCAATTTCATGATGATGACTGTGAATCACTTCAACTTATGATAAGAAGTGATAAAGATTATCTTAAATTGATCACTCTTCTCAATCAGCTGCTGGAAAAAGCCTTGCTGTATATTCATTAAGAAGAAAAGAGTAGAACCACTTAGTAACTGCAGAATATTTCTCTGAGTTAACAGTAAATATGCATTCAGAATCAGCCTCATATTGATCTTTCTCAGATTGATGACTACTTTTGACTTGCTCTTATTTCACACAATAAATGCTAATGATGTGATAGAATTCTTGTTCTCAAGAAGAACTTACTTAATTCTATAATTATTCAAAAGTGGATTCAGAATTCAATTCATTGCCTCTCAATCTCATCTTGATAATAGATAGGTATATTGCTTAAGTCTCAAAAAGTTAATTTTATTCATAAAGTGCAATAGCATCTTTATGCTGTCTGTGAACTATCTCAACATAGGTCAAAACAGATGATAGTGACAGTTGATTATTAATTGAATTACAGATCATTTCATTAGATTCAAATGAGAGAATATATTCATCTCTACAGACTTCTCTGCCACTGTCTCAGAGACTATTAGCAGGTTTTCACCTTTATCATCTGTTGCAGCTAGGTGAACAGTTTCAGACCAGTGAGTGAGATTTCTTTCCTCTATTAAAGAGGTATATCCCACTACTTGATGAGATTACATGATGATGAGCATGACTTCTAAATTAGTGAATGAGAGCACTGTCACTTCTGAGTCAATTATAACTCACAGTAATTCAGTGAATGTGGCTGATCTTTTGTCAGTTCTCAATCTCAGCTTCATTATTCAAAGTACATCCATAGACGGCCTGGCATAAGACATAGAAAGTAGAATTCCTTCACTTAGATTGATCATGACTGATTAAGTGATGCAGATCATAAATCATTATCTGACTTGACTGATTTTCTCTATTTCTCTAGCAGACATTCTTATTCTTTCATCTAAATAACCTCTCAGAAGGCTTTTGCTTGTACAGAATATTAATTGAAAAATATCACTACTCAATTTTACATGGTGATTTTCACACTAGCAGATGCTAGAATATTATTGACTAATATCATATTACAATCTAGATGCTTTACTAAGTGAAGTTCATCCTTCATAAAAAAGAGAGAACTCTTTTGATTTTGTACAATGATATTCAAATTAATATATATATTAAAGGTGTCTGATTCTGTGTCAACATCTCTGATTTTAATACTGTGATTATCTGGTATAGAAATAGATGAGTGCTGTGAGAAAAATAGCTTCACTATTTTCATATCAATGAGAAAGATTTCAGCACTAATGTTCATACACATGAACAACTCTTTCTGCTGAATGATTGTCTGAATGGATAAAAATATATATAATAGATAATGTAGACTGTTAATAACCTTCTGATCATTTTCTGAAATGCTATTGACTAATGTATATGTCTTTGTATTAAAAATAAGATGTTCTGAGAGAGAAGCTGCTATAGCTTCTGCTAATGAGATGAGTCTTTTGATACTCATCTTCTCATTTAGTTTTCTGCCTCATCATCAGATTCTGAGAAGTTATTCTTCAGATTCAATAATAAGTCTACAATGTTAAATTTCACTTAATTTGTGATATAATTGCTGGTCTTCTTAAAGCATCTGTTAGTATAGTGTAAGTCTCTGCAAGTAAAGCGCTCTGCTACTGAGGCAAATGCAGACTTGATGAGTGTGAGCTTGAGTGAAGTCATTAGATCAGTTCTGCTGACTCTCATTTCTGACTGACACAGCTATCACAGTCAGATGATTGACTCAGTTTGCTGATCAGTTTGTCAGTCAGATCTGCCAGCTTCTGCTTCTGATTAATGCTGCTGTCATGATTGAGCAGTCAGCTCAGTCTGTCAGTTGTGCTGACAGAATGTAAGAAGTCTATTCTCAGTTCAGTATCTTGCTCTCTTATACTCAAGAAGTTGCTGTTGTCAATCTTCTCAAATCAGTTATTTATTCTGCTACTGGGGTTTCCTGTATTATTGCACTCACCTTATTGTATTATCTCACAGAGACAGTGAATAGCACTCTCTCCATCTTGAGGTGATTGTAGAGGGTGATCAACAGTTGTAATTCTATATATTAACTGCTTTTGTTTCTCCATACTTCTGTGATTGCTATCATGTACTTTTCTGTAGATGTCTATATGTATTGATGGGAACTGCTGTGATGGGTGTCTTCATCAGTGTTTTGCTCCTTGCTGGCTAACCCAGCACCCTCTGGTCTTGTTGAGAATTCAGAAGCCATCAGAATGACAAGAGCATTTGAATGATGAGAGTATTTACCTTTGATGTTTTATGAGGTGGTTAAGGCAGTTATTTGGAGGTGATTGAGGCCTAACTCAGAGGATGGTACCACTGCTAACTCTTTTTTAGTGATTGGACTAGCAATTATGAATCAGAGTGACTAGTGATTATGATTTAGAGTGACTGATTTAGCAGATCTTGGACCAATTTGATGTGTATCTTGGACCTTGATTGATTCAGTGAATCTTGGACCTTTTAGAGAGACATGGACATGCTACCAATTTGATGTGTACAAGCAAATGAATAGGTAGGATAAATCATGTCTGATTCTCTTCTAATAAGATGGGCGGATGCCCTGCTATATATACACACTATAATCACTCTATATGGTAGGAGTGATCGCATAGGATAGGAAATATAGGAAAGATTGGGGCCCCTGAGTGGATTAGAGAGGGGCAAATAGAGAGCGGATACTAATATAGGGAGGGGCGGAAGAATAGGGGCGGAACGCCACAAAGATGATGAAATTGCAAGATTTTTATCATTTCAGTGTTTTTATCATTTTGGTGTGGCACACCCACATGAGGTGTGGGTTGCGCAGCGGCACGATTACAATGTAGTTATTTTTTTCATTAATTTTCCACTTGTAAATTGCTCTTGCACCACGGAGATTAAATGTCACTAAATTAAACATCTCTTCGTAGTCACCAGAGTCGCCTTATTTGGGGAGAATATTTAAATGAGGAACTTCGCGCTTACTTCCACTGCGGATTGTGTATCTCCACACCCTTCCCTTCTAAGAAATTAAAACCACGACCAGAACAAACAACCAATTTCCCAGCCGAACTGCCTACCATCGATTCTGAATAAAATACAAGGATCAAGTCGCGGACCTCAGCGATCACCATGGTCCCTCCCTCTCCAACCCAAACCCAACACCTCAGTAAATCCTGAAACAACCCTCCCCCCATCTCCACAACCTGGTATGAATAGGAACGGTCCCCCGAAAGGGGGTTCCACATCGGGTCGCTCTGAACGAGATTATGGACTGTCTAGGACGGAGAGCAACTCGCTAAGTGCCACCTCGAGTGCCGGGTATGCCTCCTCACGAGAGCGACGTGCTGGCGGATACGGGGGTTTCTATGATGGCGGTTCCGCAGCGTCAACATCTTCGCTACACAGTTTTGAACAGCCATTCCGGACCCCGTCTTCTCGCTCGCGGCAATATGATGTCGATACGGGGCCCATGTGGAATAATGGTGGCAGGGATGACGCGACGTATGGCTATGGTGGCAGGCATTGGGTTAGGAAGAAGTCCGATGCTACATCTACGAGGAGTGGTCCGCAGCCGATTGAGGGTTGGTTTGACTTTCCAAGGTTACCCGCAAAGGACTACGCTGGGGATCTAAGAGGCTTCTAATAAGGTTGTTCATGGGGCTGACTTTGCTTTTGATATAGATATCCTCCGAATGATCGAGCAGGAATGGAACTTCATGGCGACTGATGATTGTATCCCGGTCCAGGTGGGCCTTCAGCTGATGGACTCGAGCACGCTTGGGAAGGCGGATCGAGAGCCGGATTTTATACGGGTGCATAAACAGATACAAAGGTCGTTGAAGTCGGTCGTTAATGGTTTGTTGGATCCTAAACTTCACGCAGTATAACTATGGGAGCGTAATTGCTAAGGTTCTCCATTTTAGAACATCACCAGGGGTTTAATAGCTCTATCGGAACGTACCATACTATCCAGTCCAGCATCCAAAGTTCCCAAAATCGCATTCGAACGCTGAAAGGGGCTCTGCTTGAAGCGAAAGAAGGTTTACTTACGACGAAGCCAGAACTAAAGGGGCTCGCTACGGCGTCGCAGAACTACGACGATATACTACAATTATTTGGCCAGATTGAGAATATACAGTCTCTACCAGAGAAGCTCGAGGCGCGCATAACGGAAAAGAGATTCATTGCAGCGGTGGAAATACTCCAGGATGCCCTACGTCTAGTACATCGACCGGAACTCGACAACATCGGAGGCCTTGGCGATCTACGGACATACTTCACCAACCAGGAATTGTCATTGACAGATATCCTAGTTGAAGAGCTGCATGATCACCTATATCTAAAGTCTCCGTATTGTCAGGATCGCTGGAAGTTGGCAAACGGAGACGAGGCGAAGGACGGTTCAAAGCCAACCGTTTTAAGTGCTGCTTCAAATTGGGAAAAACCAGTTTACAATTACCTAGCCAATTTAGATGCGCCGGTTCCCGTTACGGAGGATGCCTCTCGTAGTCCGGAGGCCGATACCTTCCACTATATCCGCGTGCTCATTGAGGCGTTCAACAAAATGGGCAATCTTGAGGTTGCTGTTGATCGGATCGAGCAGAGGCTTCCAGTGGAACTCTTTGCTGTCGTTGATAAAACAAGTGCCGAAGTCGCTGCTCGCCACCCAGAGCATAGGCGTAATGCACCGACGCGAGACGGTAAAATGTACGGAATCCCAACGGAGCTGGGCGGAGACCGCGGATACGTGCTGTCTGAGTTCATGTGGAACCTTTATGCAAAGTTTGAGGCCATTGCTGAAGGCCATCGCATCGTGCATGAGGTCGTTGCTGGGATTGTGGAAAGAGAAGGCATTCGAAAATCCGGATCACTTACGAGTGGTTTCAAAGAGCTGTGGAAGTTGTATCAAAGTGAGGTTCGTTGTTTTCCATTCCACAATGATGACGGTACCTGTCTGAACTTTACAAAATTTCTAGATACGGTCCCTATTGCACGATTACCTCGCTACAGATGGAGAAATCAGCTATAGGTCTCCCGCGAATATTTCTGATGAAAAATATACACACACCTCTAACAAAAGAGATAAAACGAAGGTCTGTCAGACTTGTTCCACCTTACATCGGATATGCTAACAGTCAGCACAGAAAATGTTTAAACTCTCTGAGGTGGATCAAAAGTCATCGGAAATGAAGGCAGAGCAAGCCGACTTGGAAGAGATCCTGAGATCCTCAGTTCCCGGTCTTGTGTCCAAATCTCGCCAGAAGGCTTCTGTAACCGATTTGTCACATTTAAGACAAGAAAGCTCCGGAACGGGACATACGCTCCTCATCGAACCCAGTGTTTTCAATATGAGCCTGCTTCTACCGCCTTCACTGTCGTTCATTCAACGATTAAAGGATATCGTCCCTCTGAATTCTGACATCATCATAAGCACTCTTACGTCCTTTCTCGACGACTTCCTCATCAACGTGTTCCAGCCCCAGCTGGATGAAGCCGTGAGTGACCTCTGCGCTCAAACGTTCGTTGCACTGGATGCATTCACGGAAGATCCGCATTGGACAAGAGTTTCGCCAAGGCCTATATTCAAGGTATGTAATTTGAATTTTGGGCTATATTTACCTTGTTATCTGACTTTTGTTGTAGGGGACAATTGTTTTCATGGAGCTCGTCAAAACATTTAGTAAAATGCTCGATAGTATTCCGTATGACCAGGCATTTACCCAACTGGTCATCAACCAAATTGTTACTTACTATGATAAATGCTGTGGCTGGTACAAAGGTACGAATCCGTCTCTTGATAGTATGTGAATAAGTTCTAACATGTTATCAAGCACTGGTTACCCGCATGTCTCCTCGTCATCCTGGGGGAACACATGTGAAAGCAGCAGCAGCGTATGCAGAATCTGGCGATATTCGAGAAACTGCAGCGGAGTTGTGGCAGTGTTTTGCCGATAGACGACAAGTACTAATTACCAAAGTATGTGCCCTCAAAATGTGATAGATTTCCAGCGAACATTCAACTAATATTCACCATCAGGAAATTGATCTCTTAATTCAACACACAAGCGAAACTCCTCTTGAGCCGTACGACATCGTTTCGGACCCAAAAACCGTCATCTCCCTCTCCCTCCTTTACAACAGCATGGTACGTATAAAATCTCACAAAACTTACAATGAAACATTTTCTCATAAACCTTAACAGCGATGGCTCGTCAGCAGTCTCTCTCGCCTCCGCCATATAACAACCTACCAAACGGACTCCAGCCAGCCTAAATCCTCCAGCCGAATGCCCCCCACACGCCGCTGGACCTTCGTAGCGTCCATGAAATCCAAACGTGACAGCCCCAGCAACGCCATTCACCTCCCCATGACCCAAGAGTCCGTCGTCGGCTTCGACAACACGCTAGAGTCGCTACGGCACCTGGCCCTAACCGCCCTGCTAACCCTCCACATCGACATCCGCTGCGGTGCCATCCACATGGTCACCAGCAGCCTGTCCAGTAACATCCCCTATTCCGCAGAACCAACCAGCCCGGTCTCCAGCGCGAGCATCGCAGAGTGGAAACACATCTTATCCACTCCCCCATCCTCCGCATCGCCTGAAATCATAGAACTGAACAATGACCTGATATCCTTCGACGCGAACATAGCAAACTACCTCGGTCCCAGCGAATGCCGCTTCATAACATCCGGTCTGGCACAGTTGATAGACCGCGCCTTCGTCTCCGGGACACGCTTCATCGGCGCAATGAACAACAACGGGGCCATACGCTTGCAACTCGACGTGCTAGTCCTGCAACAGAACCTGAGAAATATCATCATCCACCCTCCCCCATCCCCACCCTCACTCTCACTCTCACCCTCACCCTCACCTTCTACCTCACTATCAAAACCAACCTCAGCTGCATCCGAAGACACTAAAACTGAAAAGCAACAGGAGGAGAAGGGCGCAGAAGAGATAATCGCCCTTCCCCGCTCGGCCAAGTTTCTGGACTGGTTCCTCGAGGGCGCAGATAAAGCTGTCGAGCACGCGCAGGCCGAGAGGGAAGAGTTTAAGAACCGCGGCAGCGATAAGGCGCTGCAGGCGGGGAACGGGGAGCCGTTTACGTACGAGGAGCTGAAGGTGTTGGTTGAGTTGTGCTTTTCGGCCATGCTGAAAGGTCCTGAGGGGCGGCGGGGGAGCCGGGAGGATTTTTTGGCCGCGAAGAGAGGGAGTTGGGATGCGTTGTTGAGGTTGAGTGAGACTATGTGGGATTCGTAGTTTGGGGCGAAACAGAGAGTTGCGATTTGCACGCCTATCGTCCTTGTTTCTTTTTCCTTTCCTTTTTTCCTTTTATCCTCTCTGGATTTGAGAATTCTTTTCTTCTTCTTCTTCTTCTTCTTCTTAGCCCTTTTGGGACACGGTGGACGGTGGCGGTATATCATGCCATCTCGTTCCACTTAAGTTTTTCCCAGTGTATAGCAAATATCCAGTGCGTGTCTGTCCTGTCAGAACCTCTCTCCTCCAGCCGCCCGGGGGTTTTCCCTCCATTGCTAATCCCCACTCCACTCCACGAAAGGGGGAAGGGGATGGGAAATATGTAATTCCATAATTCCATAGACCATAGACGGCACGAAGGGAATATCGAAACTATCATTTTTTGAAATACTAAATAATAAACCCAGCCGCCGCCCTCTTCGTGCAAAATACAAAGGCGGGGTTCACTGAGCTAAAATCGAAGGTAGAGAAACCCATCATATCTGAAAACACTTGTTTCCTCCCCCCCCACACTCTGCCAACTAGATCCGTACACCTAAAATAAATTACCCCCTGCATTATCATCAATCAAATCAAGATCATCCGAAGCAACCTAAACTCAACCCAACCCACCCCCAAACCGTCCTATTATAATCGTCGCATATGGCATGGTGGCGGATGAGAGGGAACTAAAGCGTAATGATGACATTGATTGCAATCTGCATACTATTATTAACAGCGTATATATATATTCAAATCTGTGTTTCTTCCGACCCAATTTCTCCACCTTCAAGGGAGAGCAAGCAAGAGCAAAGAAAGCAACATCATGTTGACAGGGGGGTTCATCAAAATTGGCATTTCAATAGTTTTGTTTGAAAAGAGAGAGAAAACAAATCACTCCATCAGTGAAAAGGGAAGAAGATGGAGGTGTCAAGGCACGCAAGCGAGTTAAAACAAGCATATCATCAAACCAGAAACACTGAAAGACAGTTACATCCCATTATCCCAGCCGTGTGAAAGAAGAAAGAGTAAAAGAAGAAGTTTCAAAAGAAAGAAAGAAAAGGAAAAGAAAAAAGAAAACAGACAAATTATATGTATAAAGAAAAGAAGGGAAAGAAAAGGTGAAAAAAGCTGAAAAAGGCGACCCTCAACAAGACAATACACAAGCAAACCAGACCAGGCAGGAATAAGTAAAACCCCATAGAGAAAAAGATAAAAAAAAAAAGATATCACAGAAGAAAGAAAAAAAGAAGAAAGAATAGGAAAACGGCAGAACAAACAAGGGAATATAAAAAGGATTTTTTAAAAAGGGAAAAAAAAAAAAAAAAAAATTCAAACCAAACCAAATCAAACTCCCACCAATCCCGTAGGTCTACATGGCCTCCTGCTGCTGCACCTGCTGCCCCTGCCCGGCCTCCCCCTGCCCATCATCAACCTCCACCATGCCCAACCCCTTCTCATCAACCTCATAATCCTCAAACTCCAACCCGGCCTCCTTACACCTCATCATCCACTTCGCCGCCACCTCGCCACGCCGATTCACCTCCTCCTTTAACTTCGTGTTTTGCGCACCGATCTCCGCCAGCGCATGGTTTGTAGTCATATTCGCCGTATCCCACCGCGCAGCCATGTCCTTTGTCTCCTCCTGCAACTTGCTGATGTAGTGTATGGCGCGCTGGAGGATGGAGCCCTTGGCCTTTTCGCAGCCGGGGACCATCTTGGCGATTTCATTGATTCCTTCATTTATTGTTTCGCGGCGGCGGCGTTCGACTGGACATACACGTTAGAGTGCAAGGGAAAGAGTATCACGGAGATAAGCCACTCACCCTCTTTATGATTATTCTTCCGAATGGTGTGCCACTCCGCCGATCCCACTGTCGGCTTTGGATTGATGTTCTGCGCTTCCCTGGCCGCATAGACAGCGGCCGCAGTCGAGTGGCCATGCACATTGACATTTCCCATGGGCACCTGGGCAACATTAACATTAACGTCATCGTGGCCAAACGTAAGGCCGTGCGCAAGGGCTGCGGCGTTGCTCTCGAAACTAGGGCCGGGGGGTGGGTATTTGGACTCCGAGCCGTGGGCGGCTAGAGCAGCCTTTGCGGTCATGGCGTTGTCGTCGGCTACGGAGACGGAGACGCCATTTTGGTTTCCGACGTGTTGGAGGAGCTGTTGGTCGATTTGGGATAGTTCGGTTGTGTTGGGGAGGCCGTGGTCGAAAGCTGCAATCCAGTCAGTATATAAGAAACTATAGATCTCTCTCTCTGTATATGTATATACGATGGTATGCACCCTGGAGATTGCCATTCGAGTTCTGCCCGTGTGACGAGCGTGTCAGACGCTGCCCGTCGCCGGCGTCCATCATCTCGCGCTTGCGCTTGTTCGAGCCCGTCGAGGCGTCCGTAGAAGGCAACTGCTGATCGGACATGGCGCGTTGGGGTCGATCCTTCCGGAACTAGAGTCCGAGCATCAGCCATCGTTGCACAGCAAACAAACAGGAAGGAACGCTGAAGTAAGCAAGATATGTTCCGAGGAAAGAGCTCCTGCCAGGTCACGCGACAAAAGAAAGAGAGAGACAAGATGGAAGGACCATGACTAATAACGGGGCTGAGAGAAGGGAACGAAGCAGCTGATTCGCTGCGAAGACGCGCACACACACAACCATAGACGACTAGAGACGACTAGAGACGACTAGAGACAAATATGCTGCAGGAGGGATGACACGTTTCTCTCTCAGAAAACAACAGGTGGGGGATCGTGTGCGGTCGCGGGGTCCATCCACACTCCGCAATTCTGCCCGCTGTGCGACGCAGCAGCAGTGGCGAGAGACAGCTACAGGAAGCAGAGAGCGACGAATGAAAGCGCTAAGCTGCAGAGGCAGGTCTGGGGGAGGAGGAGAATAGAAACCCAACCCCGGTGCAGATTGTGTCGTGCAACCCACGTAGTCGAGGTCTGGGGAACGAACGAACCAAAACATCGAAATAGAGACAAAAGCCTGGGCACACAACGTAGCGCGCGCGCGAAAGATAGAGAGAGAGAAGGAGAGAGAGAGAGAGAGAGAGAGAGA